GCTGAGGAAGATCTTCTTCCTGTCCAGAGGACAAGTTCCGAGTAATACTGTCACATCTAACACAAGAAAAATGTATTCCTAGCATTTCAAGGTAGATACTGATTTTCCCACAGAAAGATTGTTGTACACAGTATCATAGAGATTTTTCAACATTATTAACACAACTTTACAACTCTCTAATATTATTAGTCCACTCCTATAAGTCAAGTTTATTATGGGTTAAATTTGGTGAGTTGTCTGAGAATCTAACCACCAAACATATTGCTTCAGAGAAAGTTAAGTTCCAAGTTCTAAACCATTTTACAAGTTAAAAATAAAATAAATTATATTGGAAGTTAAGAACTACCAATTCAAAATTATAAACTAAGTGTGATAGACTAAAACCACAAGATTCTTCAAAGCTCCACACTAAAGGTCACTTAAAATTAGGTATTGGGCACATTTACCACAGGATACAATCTACATACATCTTTTTATTAATATTTTACTGGAAAAATGAAGTATGTTAAAAAAGAATCATACACATTTCTATACTCATATAATTTAGGAATTAAAAAGAAAACCTTCAGTGTACATTTTCATGAAGTGACCTATAAGAGATAAGAAGAAATTATCATCTCATAAATGAAAGGCTGGCAACGTATACATTATGCAATCTCTAATGCTAGTTCAAAAACTGTGTGGGTAAAGGAATTATACCTGAATAGGTAAGTGAAGTTCAAAGAACTTCCCAATATATTTTTTTTCTTTTCTCTTGAGATAAAGCCGTATGCTTTCTGAATTGAAAATTTATTTGATACATCTTTAAAATTTTTTCTACATGGTACACTAAAACAATGGATATTCTTCATTCTCTCATTTTATTAGTCCAAAAAAAATGAAATCTATACTATTTGCTAAAGACTATGCTAGCAATTTCAGTTGTTGTTTAGTCACTCAGTCATGTTCAAATCAACTCTTTGTGATCCCATAGACTGCAGCTCCTCCCCCCCCACCCCAGGCTCCTCTGTCCATGGGATTTCCCAGGCAAGAATACTGCAGTAGATTGCCATTTCCTTCTCCAGGGGATCTTCCCGACCCAGGGATCCAGCCCACATCTCCTGAGTTGGCAGGCAGATTCTTTACCATAGCAAGTTCAGATTTATGACAATAAGCATCAGGTCAGTTCCTATCCTCAAGGAGCTTAGAGAAACCTTGAGTTAACTGTATTTATGAAGTAATAATGGCAACTGAATTTCAGTTGGTCATTTCAGGAAACATTAAAAATGTCATCAAATTAATTCTTAAAAAAGGAAACTATACAGTAGTAACCTTAAAAACATTTGAATAGTCTTATCATTTATATGAAATTTCACCACAAAGTAATTAAAAGTATTGTTTTGGTAAAAGTAATATTTTAAGAGCAGTTTTTGCTGTGAAAATTAATTGAATTAACCCTCCAAAAAGGAAATCAAAAGCTACTAGATACTGTAATAATGAAAATCAAGTACTTAGCAATACCTTATTCTGACAATAAAAGAATATGTATAATTAAATATAGTATTATATTGATACACTCTCTGAATATATATATGGTTATTTACAAGCCTGAATAAAGTAGCTCCATATCATACCTTACAAATGATCAATGTATTTTCAATGTATTACAAAGTCAATGTATTACATTACACTACAAACATCAATGTATTACAACTTCAAAATGTATTTTGAATTGTGTCTTCTGCAAGTTTTTCAATGAAAAAGGTCTAAACATTTTCCAGAGATTTTCTTTTTCACAAACTTTATTCAACACCCTACTTGTTTATTACCAAATCATGTAACTTTTCATCAATATTAACTAAACCTATACTGAAAACTACATATATGTATTAACTATTATTACTTTTTAAATTTGCAATTATTAAAAATATGGTGGATGAGAAACATTCAATTTAGAGCCATGTCTCCAAAGCAAAATTCAATGTAAATCAGCCATTCTAACATGCCACAGAAAATCCTAATGAAAATTTTCACTGTATTTTACACTGAAATATTTTCACCATTTACCAGCTAAAATACGTAAATAAGTATTTTAAAATATTTAAAAGCATCATGAAAACATATTTACTTAATTTATGCATACTAGTTGGTGGCATAAATGGACTTTTCCACTTACATATAAGGAAACCAAGGCAAGGTGTCCATTTTATAAACTGCACGGTCATTTCCTAACAAGCAACTGATTCTACATCATCAAGTTATACACGGGCCACTTCCAAGTGCCATAAAACAATTAGTGTACCTTAAAACAATTGCCTCTGCAGTGCCTATGTGCAAATTCGTTTTACCAAGAGGGTTATGGCAACAATCTAAAACAAGAAAAGCTAGAAAGGGAGGATTACAAAAAAGAAAAATAAAACACTTATTTTTGGTAGCAAATTATTTATTTTTAAATAATAAGACGTAAACAGTTTTTAGCATAATAAATAACCAACAGTTGTTTCTTCCATTTCTAAAAAATATTTCATCTTTCAGGTAGATCATGCAAAATTGTAGCCTACCCATCCTTGTAGACAGAAGTTAAAAAACTGAGAAGAAATCCTCTGACAAGTAATTAAATACATGACATTGCAAGCAAGAGAATAAAATTAGATAAATTTAGGAAATGTATCATTATTTCAGTTAAAACCCCATCTTAAATATTAAATGCTTCCTTTCATTCAACCGAAGCCTAGGATTAGCAAATACTCCATTACTGAAAAATAAAGATATACAAAACTTTCCTTTTTCAAAACTTGAGAAATTTGGTATCAAATATTGGACAGTAAAGAAAAACACTTTTCCTAACAGAAACTTAGAGCATAAGGGGAAAAAAAAACAGTTCCTGAGAGTTCGAAAGACTGAAACTGTGTCCATAACTATGATATAGTGCTATCAACAATTAGGAAAATGAAAGTTACCGCCTATACAAATTAAAGAACATTAGACGGGTTGCATAACCAATAAACCAATTACATCAATTCCTGGACAGAAACAAGACTTAGGTAACACGTGGCTATAACATTAAAAAAATATTAAAATATAAACCTAGGCACACTTTGCATAGAAAACGATAGAATCAGACTGAATCATGTTCAAGTATCTAGTCTAGTTGGGGATTCTTTAATAAATCGGCTATAAGATAGGTTGTGAATGCTCAGGTCAGATGTGCTTTCTTTTTGCCATTATTCCAGTTCATCATCCGCCAAGTGCAAGAGAAGGCGTCAGAGTACCGAAGCTAGGGGGCATGCTATAGCAAGGGGAAAAGAAAAATGGGAAAAGGTGCAATGGATGCTGCAGAGTTGAATAATTATCCGGGTGGCACAATGGGCGAGTCCCGCCGACGTCGGAGCTGGGAGAGCAGCTCCCTAACTCTGCCCAAGGCCCCCCATCCCCAGAGCAGGCGTCGGAGACGACAGCCGGCTTCGCCTCCTCTTCCAGCGAAGAAAGGGATCCCCGCACTCGCTTTACCGTTATGTTGTGTCTTTACAGACACAGGCTCGCGGCTCAAACACGCAAACGCACCAGCTGGCTTTACGGAGCCTCGGGCACGTAGCTCGAGCCTGGCTTCTCGGGCACCAGGTGCCGCAGACTCCCCCGGAGCGAGGAGGCACAGGGGCGGGACGCGGGGGCAGGGGCGCTCAGGCGGTGGCACCTCAGGTGAGAACCGCAGTATCCCCGCCTAGAGCAGCCTCGAGGCGGTCCCCGCAACCAAGCGCCAGGCGCGCCCGCCGGCCGCCGGGTCCCTAGCCCCGCTGGCGGGTGGGCGGCCGGAGCTCTGGAAACCCGCGAATGGGGGTGGGGGCCGTCGCGGGGGAGGCGCGCCCATCCCCACAACCTTTGGCTGGCTAGCGCTCCAGGCGCACCTCTCCCCGTCCTTGGCCAGTGGGGAAGAGTTCCTCTCCCGGCACCCTGACCCCCCGAAAAACAATTCCTCAGAGACTCGCGCTCACCGAGAAATCTTGAGGGGCTCTTGCCTTACCCCTTCTTCATGCTTCGGCGGCGGCCGCCTGTCCCCCTCAGCTCCCGGGACTCCACCTAGAGCCTCCAGGAGCGTCAGTCTCCCGGGTGGAACCCGCTGTGGGCAGCGGCCGAGGTACCGGGCCACAGGGAACGCCGCCTGCGACGTCCGCCGGTCACCGGACCCACCGTGTGCTCGACGCGCGAGCGAACAACACCGTGAGTCGCCGCCGCCGCCCCCCACCCGCCCCCTCCTCGTTCGCGACGCTCCACAACCGGACGCGGAGACCCGCGCCTGAAGCAGGGGGGAACCGCTGGACTCTTGCCACCTAATCCCCCATCTTTCCCACCAGGAGCTATTCCCCGTCAGTCAACGTCTTCCCACTTAAGATTCTCACTTTCCTCTTCAGTTCTCAGTGCCCAGGTGCAGCTGTGGTGGGAAACTCAGCCCCCACCCACTCACCCATCAGTGGGGATGAATATCCCTCTTCCCCCCCCTTTCCTGAGGCTTATATGGTATTGCCCAATCCTCAGTTTGGGGGAGGGGGACGGAGAGAACAGTGCTTGGCGGGGGAATGAGGGAAGATGAGAGCCAATTGAATGAACCAACCATTCAGGGGCGGGGTCAAAGAGGGGCCTGCCTGCCCCGCCCCGCCCCTCGCTCCAAACTACAATCCCCATCGTGCTTCTTCCGCTTCCCGCCGCGCTGCACGCCGGGAGTGCAGCATTTGGCGGCCTCAAGGTATTTCGGAACTCGTAGTCTTTAACCTAGTCACATAGGTCCCGAAAGTTGTAAGCTATTATAATCGTCTCTATTTCCCTAGGTAAATATTTCCAAATCCCGAGTTCCATTGTACTTATTCTAATACTAGTTCATCGATTGTGTTGATTGTTTTAAAATATAAGTGTTTTCTTAGGAGGGGAACTAAATAATGTCTATTTCTATTACTTCAACCTGTCAGGACCTAAAGCTGCTCCTTCTTCCGCCAGGGCCTGGTCTCCACAGATTATCGGTTGCCGTCATGTCGGCTGCGATTGCAGCTCTCGCTGCTTCTTATGGTTCGGGTTCAGGGTCCGAATCGGACTCGGACAGTGAGGGCGGGCGGTGTTCCCTGCCAGCCGCGGATTCCCTCATGCACTTAACTAAATCGTCTTCGGATAAGCCCTCTCTGGCAGTGGCAGTGGACTCCGCTCCGGAGGTGGCAGTTAAGGTAAGCGCTTTGGCTACTGGTGCGCGGCGGGAATTGTCCATTTCTGCTCCAAAATCCGACTGTCACTTGTTAGACCCCGGGTTACCTGTCCCTCGATCCTGACAGGTGAGTGGCTAACGCTTGGATTCTTCTCCCTCTGTAGATCTTTCTCGGGAGAAGCTGGGAATTGGAAGTTCAGAACAGCCCTCCACTCCCTGCTCTTGCCTCCCGTCGTCAGGAAGAGGGGATGAAATTTGAGTTTCTGGATTAGGATGTGCCCTGGATAGAGTAGGTGTAACAACATAAACAAACCTAAATCAGAAGTTCCCAGACTAGAGTATGTGCCCTCGCTTTAAATGAGCAGCGGCCTGGCTTTGTTTTGTTTTTGAAGTCCGAACTAGAATCTGATCCCGGCTCCACCACTTGTTTGAACTTGGGCAAGTTATACAGCCTTCTCTGTCTCCTCACCTGTATAATGGAGGTATAATTTTTAAAGCACCTACATACATGAGAGGATTATTGTGACGAAATAAAGCTTGTAGCCGAAAGCTCGGTGTCTAATAAAAGTGCGCATATATAAGGCAAAGCAGTGAGAAAAGACCTTGAATTTAAGAAATAGTGTGCATGATCCCAACTGAGGAAGGTGATAGAGGAGGAAATTGGGTTACATAGTTCCTTTAACAAGTGCTTATTGAACACAGGTTACTTCCCAGGAACTGTTCTAAGAGCTGAAGACACAGAGGCCAATAAGCCAGACATCTTTGATAGCTTGATGCGTTCATTTTCGTGGAAAAGGCAGTCAGTAAAATGTGAACAAATGAAGTGGTTACAGAGTGGGTAGAGTACTGTGAAGGAAAAAAAACAACTCCATGAAATAGAGTTCTGTAATAGAGAATAAGGTAGGAGCTTGACTTCTCTAGATTGTTTAGGGAAGTGTTCTTGAAAAAGTGGCTTTGAGGAACAGGAAACAGCCAGCCAAGTGCATAATAAGCAAGTGTTTCCCAGCAAAAGGAGGTAGCAGACCTTGAGATGGCAACGAGATGAGTGTCTTTGAAGAACTGAGGAATCATGTCTGTGTCTAGAGCTGGAGGAGAGCATCTACCAGTTGGTGGTACTGGTCCAGTAGAGCCTAATGAGAGTGGATCAGGAGTTCAGGATGTGGTGAGGGGAAGCAGTGTGCAAAAACTCCTTTCTAATTATGATGTTCCCAAGTCAGGTGCTATAACTTAAGTCTCTTACAGGTTTTTAGTGAGCTATTTATGGATTTTACTTTTTAAAGGGACATCAAGTATGAAAGAATACTTAGAATCCCTCTATTTGTATAACAAAACAAACTCCTCAAACTTACACTCCTCCAGCAGCCTCCTGAGTCTTCATTCTTTTCACAGCTCAGCTCTTTGGAGCTCTCCCACTTTATCTCACTTTCTCCTCAACTCAGTGCAGCCTTGCCCTAGCCTCTTGGGAAACTTACTCTCTCTGAGTAATGTCACTGGGCTTCCAGTTGTCAAATTTTGTCGTCTTGAGTATGTGCATCAAGTGATGCTATTAAATAGTTCTTCTTGGAAACTTTCTCTCCCTCTGGCTTCCATGGGTCTATCCTCAGCCTTCTCCTTCCTGTTCTTTTGCCCTCCCTTTCAATATTGATGTTTCCTGAGACTCAGTCCATTTTGCATCCCTCATACTCTCCAGGCCTTCAACCTGTAGTACTTCTGATGACCCACAGGTGAATACTGACATGGTTCCCACAGACTCTGGTATCAAAACTGCCAGAATGCAAATCCTACCTCCATGAGTTACCCAAATTGTGACCTTGGATAAATTATTTAAGTGCTCTGTGTCTAACTTTTCTCATCTGTAAAGTAGGGGATAACATTAGTAACTATCTCATAAATCATGTGCCAGGCACACTATCCTCATCCATTCTAAACTCCTTGCTAGCTTCAGAACTATTAACCTCTCTCCCAGGATAGCTCTCAGTCACCTCCAGTCCAGTGTGTTAAAATATGAGCATTTTCTTTCCCTCAGGATCTGCTTAACCTGTTTCTCCCATTTCGATTAATGATTCCACAACCTATGCATTAGAACAGAGGGGTCTTCCTTTCCCTTCTTCCTCAGCCCCTGAAGCTCATCATTCAAATGGTTCTAACATGTCTGTTTCATTAATTTCTCTCAAATCAATTTCTGTTTCTCTATTTTTACTGATACAGCCTACTTTATATCTTCCTCACTTCTCTCAAGTGTCATTCTGGACTTTTCTTTCTCTCTGAATTTCTACTATTGGGTAGTAGGTCCTGGTAATGAATAGGAGCCATTACTCAATAGTGTCTATGTTATTTATCAAGTCTCTCTTTCCTTTTCTGCTACCACTGTTCAGATTCTTATAATTTTATAATTTTTCTTCAAGACAATTATAGTAACTTTCTAACTGGACTTTCTACTTCCTTCTTTCTTGTCTCCCAGTTACATACCCCGAGTTTCCCTTCACAGTGCCGTCAGAATGAGTTTCTAAATTCCAGTGTTATCATATCACTTCCTTGCCAAAGACATTCTATTGCCTGCCAAGTAATTTCTAAGTTCCTTATGTATTAATAACATATGAGGCCTGCCATTCTCCCATGATGACCTCTCCACAAAGCCCTCAAAGCCTATTTTCTTTTATCCCCCTCAAGATTTTGCTCACACTGGCCTCTCTGCCCGGAAATCCCTTGCCTCATGCCTCCCTTCTTTCCCACCCCCCCAAAACTCTACTCTTGTTCAGTCTCAGCACATGTTTCCTCCTCTGTCTACCTCAACCCCCTTTCCACACTTCAGTTGTATAGCATTTGCCACCTTGCTGTGACTTGTTAATTTTTTTCTTTCTTCTGGACCAGACCATAGAGACCTGAAGTAGTTGTGTATATTTGTTTTCATGTTTTCAATACCTCTTATACAAAATTATGAGAGATAGATAAGGTGAGTAAATGAATGAAAGAATAAATGAAAAACAAGTCTTGAAAAAGTATGTACATTGAGATTCAGTGTATACTGAATGGGTGGGGTGTGGGGACATCTCTAGAACTCAGTTCAATCACTTCAAGTTACAAGTAAGATAATCCAGGAGAATAAAGTATCAGAGGTCCATTAGAAATAGGGCTGGGGCTAAACCCCCCAGTGCTCTAGTGTCTATGATGAGAGAGTAAGGGATATTGATCATCACTTGTTTGTTAATCTTTATTTTAAAAAGCTTATACCTAGTAAATTTAATGATGGGAAAATATCCAGGGGAAAAGATGTGAAGCATACAAATATATTCATCTGTAATTGTCAAGGTGTGACTAATAGTATACATTTTGGCAAAGTACGAACTTACGCAGTTTTTTAATCCGTATCACTGAACACTAATGAGAGTTCATATATCTTATTAGTGATTTTATTTTTGAAGTTACTATTGGTTGTCTTTTGCTTCTGATGTGTAGGAGATCTTTATATATTCTGGATATTATCCTTTGTCAATTATGTATGTTGCAAATTTGTCTCTTGCTATGGAGAAATAACAAGCCACAGATATTCCTTGTTGGAGAAATTCTTTTACCAAAGCCATAAAAATATGCTCTTATTTTGTCTTTCGAAAGCACTATATATTTGCTTTTACATTTAAGCCATAAATCCATGGAATTAAATTTTGTGTATGGTGTGAATATTTTTAATAATATGGCTTTGATCTTTGTAGGTTGTTCTACCCCCTCACCTCTATCCATTTTTTTAAATTCAAAAATGTCTTGGCTCTTATTGTCCCCTGTAATTCTACATGTGGTTTATAATTAACTTGTAAGTTCTGCTAACATCCAGGTGGGATATTGTTTGGGATTGGATTGAATGATAGATCAGTTTGAAGACAGTGTTCTATCTATTCATTCATTTAGGTCTTCTTTAGATTTTTAATTTCTTTGAAAGTTTATAATTTCCTGCATCAATATCTTGAACAGTTTTGTTGCAGAGATTTCTGTGTGTGTGCTTAGTCACTCAGTGGTATCCCAACTCTTGGTGACCCCGTGGACTGTAGCCCACCAGGCTCCTCTGTCTGTGGAATAGTGGGTTGCTGTTTCCTACTCCGGGGGATCTTCCTGATACAGGGATTGAACCTGCATCGCATGCATCTCCTGCATTGGCAGGCGGATTCTTTTATCACTGCACCACCTAGGAATCCCCACAAAGATTTCTAGGTGCATCTTATTTTTATGCTAGTATAATAATAAATTGTGTTTTTTTTTTTTACATTATTTAATTTTTTGACTGATTTTACTACTTTCATGATGGTATATCAGGCAAATTCCAAGCGAAAGAAAATGGCATTGGTTGTATTAGGGTCAATAAAATAGACTTAAAATGGAAAAAGGATTACTTCATAATGATTCAAGGCTCAATTCACAAAGGGGTATATAACAATTTTAACTTTATGTGCATCTAATGGTAGTGCTAGTAAAGAACCTGCCTGCCAATGCAGGAGACATAAGAGACATGTGTTCTATTCCTGGATTGGGAAGATCCCCTGGAGGAGGGCATGGCAACCCACTCCAGTATTTTTGCCTGGAGAATCCATGGACAGAGGGGCCTGGTAGTCTACAGTCCATAGGGTCTCAGAGAGTCGAACATGACTGAAGCAATTTAGCACAAAATAATGTAAAAAGCTCAAAATATTTAAGCAAAAATTTTTATAACTATGAGAGAAATTGACAAGTTTACAATTATAGCAGAAGATTTTAATATACCTCTTTCAATAATTGATAGAATAAGCAAAACAATATCAGTGATGATATAGAAAATTCAAACAACAAAATTAGGAAACTGTATCTAAAGGGTATAAAGGAAATAGCACACAACGTAGAAAATTGTTTTAAGCACTAATAAAACATTTTTTAAAAAACTGACCATATACTAGGCTAAGGTTTGGTTAAGGGCCAGATAGTAAATATTTTGGGCTGTGCTGACCACTGAGCTTCCCTGTTGGTTCAGATGTTAAAGAACTCGCCTGTGATTCAGGA